ACTGTGGTTAGGTGTTGTCAGGCATGGCTTCGAGAAGGCCGTACGGAAAGAGCAAGGGGCACTGGACGCCGGCGTAGAAAAACAGAACGTGAAGATCGCCGCCTGAGATTATTGGCCTTAAGGGACCGTTTCTCCACTACCAGGTCCATTGCAAATGAGTGGTTTGCAGAACACGGAAGACCTATTGGCATGCGAAGTGTTTACCGACGAATGAGAAGTTTTGGCTTGTTTTCATACCGGCCACACCGGGTCCTCCCTTTAACTCGAGAACACCGACGTAATCGCCTTGAGTCGTGCAGACAACGGTCACTCTGGGATCAGGAATGGAACAGTATTGTCTTTAGTGACGAGTCTCGATTTTGTTTAGGCATGCACGATGGTCGTGCCAGGCGACGTGGTGAAAGGAGGAATCCACAGTTTTTTGTTGAAAGACATGTTCATCACACTGTTAGAGTTATGGTTTGGGGTGCTATAGCTTATGGTTCCAGGTCACCTTTAATCTTCATCAGAGGTAACATGCACGCGCAGCGTTATATCCACGAAGTTCTAGAACCCCATCTTTTACCTTATCTTGACACCCTGGCAGATCCAACTTTCTAACAAGATAATGCCCGACCACATGTTGCAAGAGTCACAACAGACTTCTTTCAACATAATGATGTCACATTGTTACCATGGCCACCAAGATCTCCCGACTTATCCCCAATTGAGCACGTGTGGGATATGATGGGTAGGAGATTGCTCAATTTGCAACATCCTCCTCAGACTCTAGAAGCACTTCGAGAGGAGTTGGTGGTTGCCTGGAATGAGATACCACAGGAGGACATTGACCACCTGATCAGAAGGATGCCTAGGCGCGTCGGAGAATGCGTAGCACATCAGGGTGCATCCACACATTATTAAAGGTCAAAGGGCTTTAAGGCAGTGCAATCATTTTGAAATTTTTATCATTTACTTATTATGCTTCATTAAGTACTTATACAAAATTTTATTAAAATAAAACCATTTAAACTGGGTGTTCGGATTTATATGTCACTTAGTATACATTGTTAAGCACCTCATTTAGAATACTTTGTAATTCTGGCTGGGTAGACAGACATGTTGCGTCATCGAGCTACTAGAGTATCTTCTCGAAGGCTCAGGGGTTCGAGACCCGCTGCCGGAAATTACATTTTGAGCCGTGGATGCTATGTTTTCCTAAATACGTACGGACCATATCGGTGCAAGAAGCAAATAGGTACATTGCATCACTGGAGCTGGATTATACAATAGGCAGTTACCTGCAGATAGGGTAGTTCAGTGTTTTATTACAACGGGGTCGTCAAGAATGGTGAAAGGTCGCTCTACGCCCATGCATGCGATCTGTCTTGCACGCGAAGCGTCACTCGGTGACAAAAGTCGCCAGACACGATTGACAAACGTACAGTTTTTTAAGGGGCTTTAGCGCATAATTTGTGATTAGTTTCGTTAATTTGAAACTTACACTAGTGTGTTTCAATTAAGTCTCTGTGAAGAAAGTATTTAAAAAACAGTGACTTAAGCATTTAGCTATTGTGTTCTGTGCAGTAGTGGGATGTTCAAGCAACAACGGCAAGAAAGGCAAAGACGCTTCAGATTGGCGTTTCTTCAGCTTTTCAAAGAACAAACAAGTTTGCGAACAGTGGGTTCTGAAGTGTTGTCAGCAATACAAGTTCAATAATTTCTAATTAAATGCAAGAAACTCTACCATATTTTCAACAATTCCAACGCAGGTTCAGTAAACTTGACCAAAAATTATTTAAAATAGTTAATGGATTCAGCCACTCCAGTGTAGGGGCTAACGTCAAATAGCTTTTCTTTGGGCGCAGCATGTATTTTGAAAGAAAGATCCAGAATTGGAAGGAGAAAAATGATGAAATAAAAAATGAACTCAATAAAAATAATTTTATTCAAATCTACCCATTATTTACAAGTAACATTTTATACAAAATTATAAAGATGTCATACATGATGTATGTTGTTCTCCACTCTTTTTTATACAGGGTGGCGCATCGAAAACGAAACAGACGCATTTACTGGCAGCTCAGTTTCTTTTTGTGAAAAACGCTCAGACCCGTCGATTTTGTTTTCGAGGGGGATACAAGTTTGGCAAAAAATCACGTTAGCACGTGCAGCTCCCTAAGCGGGGGTGACACCAACCCTAAAATCTTAAATGGAAAGGGGGGTCAAGTGATACCTTATTTTAAAGGTCTTTCGATTCTCTTTATAAAGATGTAAAATACATGAGCTTCAGTTCAGTAGTTTTGAAGATTTGTTGATTTAAAGCTTAAAGTAGAGTTTAATAGGTACATCAGATTAGTTTGTACTACTTTCAGAAGAAATTTGACTATAAGAATTTACTTAATAAGTAAATGCTTTTCTTCACTACACCCATGGTTTGTTTATAATTTTGTTGTTGAAAATAGCTATTGGAGCGTTGTTTTCTTGAAGAAAGATAAGGAAATAACTCGTACTTATCTTAAATAGGAATTTAGTACATAGTTTGCGATTGATTTGACCAAACCTTGTTGCTAAAATAACTTGTAACGCTTTATTACATAAATTAACCATGGTATATTCCACAGTAAATAGAGTTGAAATTATAGAAATATTTTTGAGAACAGTAACATGCATCGAAAATATATTCTAGAACTCGTAGCTAAATTTCGGGAAACTGGGTCAGTCGCCAATAAAAAACGCAACATTGAAAATCCCATAAGGAACGAAGCAATAGAAGTGGGGGTTTTAGGGCAAGTTTATGTAGATCCTACGTTAAGTACCCGCAAATTGGAGACTGTGTGTGGCGTTAGTCGACGTACTGTCCAACGGATTCTAAAGGCCCATAATTTTCATCCGTATAAAATTCACCTGGTACAAGAACTTAATGAAGACCATTTTGATCGGCGATTACAATTTTGTGAAGATATGAGTGAACGAATTATAAACGACGAACATTTTCTATTCAACACTTGCTTTTCCGACGAATGTTCCGTTTTCTTAAATGGCGTAGTAAATCTTCATAACTGCCGATATTGGTCCGATTCTAATCCCAGAATTTATCATGAGGTTCATACACAGCAGCCACAAAAATTAAATGTTTGGGCTGGTATTTTTGGCGATCGTTTCGTTGGTCCTTTTTTCTTATCTGGAAATTTTACCGGTGAAATGTATTTGGAATTACTGGAAGACACCATAGATCCTGCATTAACAGCCATAATTGAAAATCAGGATGATCGGCGGTACATTGCGAATCGGTTGATGTTCCAACAGGATGGGGCCCCACCACATTACGCATTACGTGTTCGACAATACTTAGATCAGGCGTTTCCAGATAGATGGATTAGTAGAAGAGGTGCCATTGAATGGCCCCCAAGATCGCCAGATTTATCACCTTTGGATTTCTTTATGTGGGGTCATTTAAAAAGCAAAATCTATGCTACTCAGCCAACGTCATTAGAAGACCTGCGACAAAGAATTGTGAATGAGTGCCTTCAAATTACTCCTCAAATATTGCAAAATGTGCGGCAATGTTTTGAGCAAAATCTTTATTATTGCATGGAGAGTCATGGTGGCCATTTTCAACATTTACTTGCCTAACGGGTCAATTCATTCTTCATTTTTAAATTACTTTGCTGCCAAATGTATTGATCTCCACTAATGATGATGTTTTAGTTTTATTTAAGCTTTAAATCAATAAATCTTCAAAACTACTGAACTGAAGTACAAGAATTTTATATCATTATAAAGGGAATTGAAGGACCTTTAAAATAAGGTATCACTCGACTCCCCCTTTCCATTTAAGATTTTGGGGGTGGTGTTACCCCCGCTTAGGGGGCTGCACGTGCTAACGTGATTTTTTGCCAAACTTGTGTCCCCCTCGAAAACAAAATCGACGGGTCTGAGCGTTTTTCCAAAAAAAAAACTGAGCTGCCAGTAAATGACTCTGTTTCGTTTTCGATGCGCCACCCTGTATAAAAAGTCAGTATTATTATTAATATACATATGTCATTGATGCACAAATGTATTATTTTAAACCAGTTTACTTCAATAAGAGAGTTAGACCGTTTAGTTGGAGCTCTAAAGAAATCTCAGTTTGAAAAGCTCCAAGCGCATTTTCAAGTCTTAAGTTATTTCTTTCCACTTGGCATTGTTAATAATTGTAAGGCTAAACATTCCAAAAAGCTGTCCGCAAAGACAGCATAGAAGTGTGCAACAACTACTTGCAAAATCTGTATCATTTTCCTGTCTGGTAGTCAAATAAACCCGTGGGTTCTACTACCGATTGCCGATTATTGAATAAGTTTATGTACTTTCTCATGATTCATTTCTCAAACAGAACATTAAATTCTCTCACGGTGTTTGCTTTGCCTCGATTTTCCACTTGTACGTCAAAAATATTAAAACATGTAAAGTTTAAACATGTGACATGAAAAGAAGTTGATATTTGAGCAGGCATTTTCAATAATAAGCAACAAAAGGATATCATGATTCTTTTGCTTAAGTTATATACCACTAAATCTATTTCCTGCTAACACAGCGTTAGTCCAGAACTGTTTTTCGGGTTTCTTCAATTATTATTAACGACAAGCTGTGAAGGTTAGTGGAAACTACAATCTTTGAGGACTCGTGTACCACATTATGCTCAAAAAGGTACTTCAAAACTAATTGTGTGAAATCCTATTATTGCAATGACCGTTACAGCTCGTCAGAATGGCTCGTCCTCTTTCTCATTTCGTGATCTGTCGCAACAATACCATCCCGTTTTTACTTTCTAGCTCCTTCGAGATACAATAATCTAAAAATAAGCGGATCCTAACTCTCCTGACTGATGGCCCAGGCCACGCAAAACGCACAAGCAACACGCAAAGCACCTGAAAAACTCTCCTATCTTGGTCAAATGGATCTATATAATATAAGATGAGAAAGAAGGAGACGACATCTATACAATCTGGGTAATCCCATATAAATTTGACTCATTTCAGGAAATGAAATCAATGCTCTACGCTGCAGTAGAGCAAGCACCATCAGCAGAACTCGTAGAGCCTGACGTTTTGACCCGCTACTTTGCCACCTTCGATGAGCAATTCTTCTCTTACTGTGATAAAGAACTTACCAAAATCAACACATTTTATTCTGGTGAGTATGCATTCAACCTAAAATCCCCTAATTTCAGTTAGCAATGTCGAGACTCCCAACCAGTCGACACTCTTCCTCCTGTTAACCCTCCTGCTGCAGATTCTTCTTCTTCACTTATATTTCTTCATTTCGTGTGGCATCCGAGCAGATAGACCTGATAAATTTTCTGATTTTTGATACCTTAACTAGGGTGCGAGATAGCACAACTTGATGATTCTCGTTTTCCACATTTTCCAACTGACACAGGTAGTCTATTCGATACCGTTTCTTTCCAGAAAAGTTGGCGGAAGCTCAAAGAAAATACGCCAGCTTGAAGAGTGAGTTGAGCGATACGCAAGACTGGCAGTTTAGGGGAAAGACGCATCATAGCATAAGAAATAACTTTTTGAGAACAAAAAATGTACCTGCTAGAAAAATGCAAGAAGTCAAATTAGCTTTTAGTGAATTTTACCTTAGTCTAATACTACTGCAAAATTATCAAAACCTCAACTTCACTGGATTTAGGAAGATACTGAAAAAGCATGATAAGGTAAGTGTGCATACAAAGGGAGAGAGGGCGATTTGACACATCTTTCAAGACTGATTCAAACGTTTATTGAAATCCTTATCGTGTGTTCACATTTTATTCCTAAACTATAAGAGAATGGAATTCAAATTATGGCTAATATGAATAATGAGAACTACTAGCGCTATCAAAATATTTACTAGCAGTTTCTCGTTTTTCTTGGGATATACAGAAGTTAAGAATTGTTTACATTGTTTTGGCATTAATTTGTTGTCTTCCCCACAGCAAACATCCTACAGGTCAGCTATCGAAAATAAAACAACGAATATAACATGAAAAACAGACACAAAATGATGCCAGCAGATTATAACACTGGTTTAATCCAACCAGCAAAAGCATTGTTGTACCGCTTTAGTTTGTTTTTCCATGTTTCATCAATTTATTTGTCTTTCATATCTGACCCATGTGATGGATGTTATCCCTTGGGATGTGTTCTGTCTCTCCTTCGATAGCCTTGGAGTCGAAATGTAAACGCTGAAACGTTGGACACTTTTTAACACATATATATCCCAAGAATCCGAATCATCTGAATAAGAACTTGTTTCTTGTCTATCGAAAGAATTAGGACTAGGAAATATATACAAAATTTCAACTGCTGGTAATTCAAGTAAATGATGTAATCGCGTGTTAAGGTTTTCGCCACATAGGTCAAAGGTACTCTTTTTGCGGTTGCGCTTTAATGTATTGCGATACTGACACCCTCATTTTTGAGCTATTACGGGTAAGGTTATATTTCTTCTTAAGGATGCATCATATACCTAACGCCTAGCCTATTCAGTTTAAAGCATTCTATAACTTTATAAAAAATAAATCGCCCTATATAAGTATTCATTGTGCACGCAACAACTCACCCTCTTTTCTCTATTTTCGATTTGTTTTAGTTCCTTTTTCTTTCTGTATGTGCAGCGTCAGCGCATCTATTATATATTCATCTATTCACGTGTAAACTTTACCGATACATTCGTTTTATTTTCCTGTTGTTGGCGAACAAAACTCAGTTGTTTTATCGGATGAAAACATGTTACAAAAATAGTGACCTCCACCTTCTGTATGAGGGTGATTCCGATACGTTTGCTGTCTAGACACAAATATATCTCAAGATAGATTTCATACCAAACCAAGCTCTAGTGCGCCCGAAATAATAACATGGGTAAGGGTAAGGGTCTTTGGTACCAATCTGCCCCGCTTGCTCGAGTGTTAATTCGATTAATTACTTTCAGGAGTCTTTATTTATCCCGCATACAAGAACTAAGGTTGCTAGAAGTATAACAGTTGTACCTGTGTATGTGTCTATGAGTCAATCTGGCTGATGTCGTTGCTTGCCAATAGATGGATAAAAATATAAGTGTTTTTTTTTTATCAAGGATCCCATCTATCGATATGGCTCTTAGCAACGTTTGATGAAAAAAATTATGTGCGTGAGCAGCCTGAAGTGAGCGATTAGGCCTGAATGGAAATCAGATAAAAGCGTTTGATAGTCGATCTTTTAACACAAATCCGCCCAGAACTTGAGACCCAAGTTTCCTACTATATTATACCTTTTGCTTAAAGTAGTAAGTGTGTAGTCTACATATGTTAGCAAATAGCTTGTAGACATTAATTTTCTAACTTCCTTGACTCTATTTTGCAAGTGTCACACAACGTCACTTATAATAGCTTCTAGTTTCTCTTTCCTCCTTCTTTCCAGCTCCTAACCGTAGACCTGGGAGCAAAATGGCGCGTAGAACACGTGGAAAGCTCCCATTTCTACACAAACAAGGACATAGACAAACTGATACGAGAAACAGAAGCAACGTTTACGCAAGAGCTAGAGGGTGGTGACAGACAGAGGGCTATGAAGAGGTTAAGGGTGCCACCGTTAGGTGAACAGCAGAGTCCTTGGACTACGTTCAAGGTTGGACTGTTCTCGGGGGCCCTGATTGTTTTGCTCATATCTGTGATTCTCAGCGGTAGGTAACAAATCAAAGGAGTCAATTTGTTATATAATGCATACAATAGAAGATACAATAGTTCACTTTTATAAGGCACGGCGCCGCTAATAATAGAGCTATCCTTGAACATTTTTATACGAAAATAGTATCAATTAGCTTATCACGCATAGTTGTAAATAAAAAATTTAGGCATGTGCACAGATTGCATCAACTAGCACTATAATCAAAAAGCTCAGAATGTATATGTAGAAAACCGTTAGTAAAAATTTTAAATACTACATCAGATGAAAACTATATTGAACTCGACCCCAAGGTTCAGTACTAGGGCCGATTTTATTTCTGATGTACATGATTTGCCAAACACAAAGGTGAATACGATATATACTAAGTGACATATAAATCCGAACACCCAGTTTAAATGGTTTTATTTTCATAAAATTTTGTATAAGTACTTAATGAAGCATAATGAGTGAATAATAAAAATTTCAAAATGATTGCACTGCTTTAAAGCCCTTTGACCTTTAATAATGTGTGGATGCACCCTGATGTTTTACGCATTCTCCAACGCGCCTAGGCATGCTTCTGATCAGGTGGTCAATGTCCTCCTGTTGTATCTCATTCCAGGCAACCACCAACTCCTCTCGAAGTGCTTCTAGAGTCTGAGGAGGACGTTGCAAATTGAGCAATCTCCTACCCATCATATCCCACACGTGCTCAATTGGGGATAAGTCGGGAGATCTTGGTGGCCATGGTAACAATGTGACATCATTATGTTGAACGAAGTATATTGTGACTCTTGCAACATGTGGTCGGGCATTATCTTGTTGGAAAGTTGGATCTGCCAGGGTGTCAAGATAGGGTAAAAGATGGGGTTCTAGAACTTCGTGGATACAACGCTGCGCGTTCATGTTACCTCTGATGATGATTAAATGTGACCTGGAACCATAAGCTATAGCACCCCAAACCATAACTCCAACAGTGTGATGAACATGTCTTTCAACAAAAAACTGTGGATTCCTCCTTTCACCACGTCGCCTTCTAACCCTGGCACGACCATCGTGCATGCCTAAACAAAATCGAGACTCGTCACTAAAGACAATACTGTTCCATTCCTGACCCCAGAGTGACCGTTGTCTGCACCACTCAAGGCGATTATGTCGGTGTTCTCGAGTTAAAGGGAGGACCCAGTGTGGCCGGTATGAAAACAAGCCAAAACTTCTCATTCGTCGGTAAACACTTCGCATGCCAATAGGTCTTCCGTGTTCTGCAAACCATTCATTTGCAATGGACCTGGTAGTGGAGAAACGGTCCCATAAGGCCAATAATCTTAGGCGGCGATCTTCACGGTCTGTTGTTCTACGGCGGCGTCCAGTGCCCCTTGCTCTTTGCGTACGGCCTTCTCGAAGCCATCCCTTTCAACACCTAACCACATTGTCTACACTTCTTTGCACTTTAACTGCAATTGCCCGAACAGAAAGTCCAGCTTCCCGAAGTCCCACTATACGGCTCCTATCAAACTCACTAAGTTGACGAAATCGTACAGGTCTCCGTACTCTAGGCATCGTAACCGATCGTAAAGGATGTCAAGAACCAAAATCCGCCAACATTGATTCTTTACTGCGGCTGAAATATTCATTTTTAGAGCGTTAGTGAATTAAAAAAAAGCAGTATAAAACCGGAATGTCCAACTGATAAGGCTGACATTTTTTTCACTTGTTATTTACAGTAAGATAAATACATTCACCAACTTTTATTAAAATGAAACCATTTAAACTGGGTGATCGGATTTATATGTCACTTAGTATATATTGAACTCGACCCTAGGGTTCAGTACTAGGGCCGATTTTATCTCTGATGTACATCAATGATTTGCCAAAACACAAAGGTGAATACGATATACCATTTGCTGATGACACTACAATCTCTGTTAGACCTAAAAATATTTCTGAGCTTCTTGAGATCCTGATAGCCGACTTTGATGCAAATAAGCTGACATTGAATGAAAACAAGACAGTGAATATGATATTTCGATTGAAAGATCTAGAATCACAAAATACAGAACATAGAAAATTTCTAGGTATACATGTAGACAAAAAATTGAAATGGGACATGCACCTTGACGAAGCAGCAAAAAAGCTAATAGAAAAAATTTTTTTTTGCTTAAAAGCTTATCATATGCGCTGAATAGTGACATATTGAAGTCATTTCATTTTTCTCTATGCCACTCTTTAATATTCTATAGTATCTTATTCTGGGGAATAGAGAGAATCGAGAATAGTTAGATTGACTTCTATATATTTATGAAGCACTGGTGTGTGCTAGGCAGTTTTTAAATTGTCATGAAGATAAATCTTGCATACTGACTATGATACAAGGAGTGCTGGAAACTTAAATATTTCTTTTATGAAATTATCAAAAAGTACAGGAAAGTTTATAAATCACGTTCACGTTATTCTAAATAAGTTTCTGGTATTATCAAATCAAATTGAGAAGTTACCAAATTTTTCGATCTGGGAATTCCTTCTCGGAGAATCCGAAATATTCTGTCAATGTTTGCGGTTTAGCTGAACCTGAATAAAATGCTTTCCAGTCCGTCACTTATTTTCTGTACGAAATAGTGGTTTTAGTTGTCGGCCAGACATGATTACTCAGTCAACGCTTGACAAACCTTCTATAATTGCAGCATCTGGTCTCTTTAATTGCTCCAGAACATTGACCTTCAGAATTACCTTTTTCACGATATATTTTTCTCTCCTCACACTGACCCTTGCTATCTTTTTCAAGGAATGTACCACGACCGTACCGACTGGCTGACAGTGACCCGCCTCTACCGCGGCCCGTTGCTCATCGTGGAATTTCTCTTCCTCTGGGGCGTAAACATCTACGGCTGGCGATCATCAGGCGTCAATCACGTGCTCATTTTCGAAATGGACCCCCGAAACCACTTGTCAGAGCAGCACATCATCGAAATGGCCGCCATTTTCGGAGTGCTTTGGTCGGTTTCGGTGCTGTCGTTCCTGTATAGTGACAGGCTTGGGGTTCCTGCGTACGCGAACCCATTGGTACTGTTGATCGTGATGCTGCTGTTTGTCGTTAATCCCACTAAGACGTTTAGGCATGAGGCTAGGTTTTGGACGTTAAGGGTCCTGGTAGGTATAGCATCATAATAATAATAATTTATTGTGATAAGGTTTACAGTAGTAAATATAGACAACGTCAACATTAGCAAAAAATAAACATATACATTTTTCATTTTAACATTTAAATACGTCTTAGTCATACGTACACACAACAACAGTACATCCAAGAATGTAAGGACGGTTAAAATATTCATTCATTGGATAACAGGCCTTTTCGATTAAATACGCTTTCAAAGTTTTTGAAACCATATGTACCTGTACATTCTTTTACATGTGCTGGTAAAGCACAAGCTTTATAGGTTGGGTACACTTAGATTATTACAGTTTCTAGAGATCATATTATTGTAGTAATAACTGTTTTTCTTGTATTTATAGAGGTTTAGTTTTGTATCAATACATATTCTCGATATGTACAGGTACATCTGAGACAACTGTTTTATGCTTTTATCAACCACTGATATCATCAGCGTATCTAAATAAAAAAGTTTGAGTCAATAGGTTTAGATAGATCGCCTATGTACACGAAACATTTTGTCGGTCCAAGAATGGACCCCTGTGGAACCTCCAAACTACTCTTCTCTAGAATAACACAAATCATCATTCTCAGCTACAATACTACTTAAGGACGAATGCTTAAGTATGATCTCATCAGGTCATCGGCGATGCCTCTGACTCCATAGTATACTAAGTGACATATAAATCCGAACACCCAGTTTAAATGGTTTTATTTTAATAAAATTTTGTACAAGTACTTAATGATAGTAAATGATAAAAATTTCAAAATGATTGCACTGCTTTAAAGCCCTTTGACCTTTAATAGTGTGTGGATGCACCCTGATGTGCTACGCATTCTCCAACGTGCCTAGGCATGCTTCTGATCAGGTGGTCAATGTCCTCCTGTGGTATCTCATTCCAGGCAACCACCAACTCCTCTCGAAGTGCTTCTAGAGTCTGAGGAGGACGTTGCAAATTGAGCAATCTCCTACCCATCATATCCCACATGTGCTCAATTGGGGATAAGTCGGGAGATCTTGGTGGCCATGGTAACAATGTGACATCATTATGTTGAAAGAAGTCTATTGTGACTCTTGCGACATGTGGTCGGGCATTATCTTGTTGGAAAGTTGGACCTGCCAGGGTGTCAAGATAGGGTAAAAGATGGGTTCTAGAACTTCGTGGATATAACGCTGCGCGTTCATGTTACCTCTGATGAAGATTAAAGGTGACCTGGAACCATAAGCTATAGCACCCCAAACCATAACTCCAACAGTGTGATGAACATGTCTTTCAACAAAAAACTGTGGATTCCTCCTTTCACCACGTCGCCTTCTAACCCTGGCACGACCATCGTGCATGCCTAAACAAAATCGAGACTCGTCACTAAAGACAATACTGTTCCATTCCTGATCCCAGAGTGACCGTTGTCTGCACCACTCAAGGCGATTACGTCGGTGTTCTCGAGTTAAAGGGAGGACCCAGTGTGGCCGATATGAAAACAAGCCAAAACTTCTCATTCGTCGGTAAACACTTCGCATGCCAATAGATCTTCCGTGTTCTGCAAACGGTCCCTTAAGGCAATAATCTTAAGCGGCGATCTTCACGGTCTGTTGTTCTACGGCGGCGTCCAGTGCCCCTTGCTCTTTACGTACGGCCTTCTCGAAGCCATGTCTGACAACACCTAACCACAGTGTCTACACTTCTTTGCACTCTAACTGCAATTGCCCGAAAAGAAAGTCCAGCTTCCCGAAGTGAGCGTTAGTGAATTAAGAAAAAGCAGTATAAAAACCGGAATGTCCAACTGATAAGGCTGAACATTTTTTCACTTGTTATTTACAGTAAGATAAATACATTCACCAACTTTTAGTAAAATAAAACCATTTAAACTGTGTGTTCGGATTTATATGTCACTTAGTATATTTCAGTTGTAAGAAAAGTATCTCAGGATCTATTGAGTCAAAGTACTAGGTACCCAGGTTTTCTATCCGAACCAAGACTAAAAAGGCACGATAGCTTCAAATTGTATGTAAACTTTACATTCAAATTAGACTCAAGGTCGGAATCGCACATTAGAGTTCAAGGTCACAGTGTCTTTATGATGATCTTCTGTGTGTCCTTGACATTGAGCTTGTTTATTTGGAGGTCAAATTGTTAAAGCTCATTATTCAATGCGATCCTTCAAAAGGATAACGTAACCTTGAAGTTTGACCTTGATCCAAAGCCCACAGAAAGCAAGTAAATTCTACAATTGTAAGACATCTTAGGCCAGAGATCCCCATTTAATTCAGGCCAAGACCACAAGACCAGCACCTTTTGCAGTATACTTCTTTGAACAGCTGGTATTTGATAAATACTACAATCTCTCTTTTTCAGGGTAAGGCATTTATGGCACCACTGTTCTACGTCTCGTTTGCAGACTTTTGGGTGGCAGATCAACTCAATAGTTTGACCACACTTTTTACCGATACGCAGTATTTAATTTGCTTCTACATGACAAATCCTAACTGGTCTGTGGGCGTAGGTAAGTAGAACAAAAAAAAGTGATGTAGATACAGTGATCACTGTCCTTGCGGGCAATAAGTTTCATTGTGGGTGTTGAAACGTACATATATACGGATGGCCAATGTATAACTGACTGATTTGTTCTCTTTTAGACTCCAACTACTGTGTAGTGAATTTTCTCGGCATCCGAACTTTCATGGCTTGTCTTCCGCCTTGGTTCAGATTCGCTCAATGCTTGAGGCGATATAGAGATACTAAAGAAGCATTTCCGCACATAATCAATGCTGTCAAATACTCAACCTCGTTCTTTGCCATCATTTTCTCAACTTTGAGCAAGGTATATGCAAGTAGGTAATTGTTCCTGTTTTGTCTGTAAAAACATTAGATTCAAAGCCGCTTCGTAAAGGGTGTTCCAAAAGTTGGAGTTCTCCTACTCAAGAATAACGATACCTAAAGCAACGAAGCTAAGCTGAAGTGAAATATCAGAAAAAGTGGAGAAACGAAATTTCAACTATCGCACCGGTACTACGAATACTTTCATCACAAAGTAAAGCTACTGTAGCGATCACTCTGAGCGCTTGCCAGTTGTCAGCGATGGGGAAAATTAAAAGACGGTAAAAATTTGTATAGGTAGACATTTCAGCTAAATTTTACCATTTTGTATGATGAAAAGTATCTGCTATGTCACTGACTGAATAAAGGTTGTTTTATTCTCATAAGTTATGATTTCGTTCTCTCCTCCCGTTTCCTTCTATCTGTTCATCAATTTTGAAACGTTTTATCTAAATTTTCTAAATTAGCTTTATTTTATCAAGGTATCTTCACTGTTTACCAACTGGGTAAAGCAAACATAAAACATTGTACATTATGAAATAGTACTTTATGTGTACTTAATCAAGAGAATAATATATTATGAAGGAAAAAATGGCGACCGACAAGTTCGTTATTGCTATAGGGTTGTAAGATTTTCGGATACTCAAAATCCGATTTACAAACATACAACAAGGGTTTACTCACACGATGAGTTGGATGCGGACGCATTTGATATTGCAAATTTTTCTAAACCTCATATTTCGTTCATTTCAAGAGGTTGGCGTTTGAGTTAGTAGGAACAGTTACTACTTTTTAAGAACTACATGCCACGTGAACGAAAATCCCAAAATGAGAACACCCTTTATGATAGATATAAGGCTCAAACAGTGTGTACATATTTTAGTTACTCAAACATTGTGTCTTAATGTTCTATGTTTTTTTTCTGTCATGTTTACTGTTTATTTTTTATTATGGTTGATGCTATTCCCAGAATAAACTGTACCTAACTTTGTAGACGACTACGCCTCTGGCGAGAATCCTTTTCTATACCTATGGATAGTTTCATCTCTCATAAGCTCGTGCTATGCATATACCTGGGATATCAAACTTGACTGGGGACTCTTTGACTCAAAGGCTGGAGATAACAAGTTTCTCAGGGAAGAAATCGTATACCCATCAGTGGTTAGTATACATTATTTTTAGGAATGATGAACTATAGAGAGCTCAGTGCTTTCAATTTCATAAATTGTACATAGGAAAAACACACTTAGCGGTGATAGATGTCGCTATAATTTCTAAATGGCGTTTTAGAAGGTGATTTTAGTCTTAACTTATAACTTTAGATTCCTCGAAGTAAAGTCAATGTAGCTTAGGCACCTCATTGCAACAATTTGTTCATATTATAAACCATTTTTTTTTCAGTGGTTCTACTACTTCGGGATATTTGAAGATTTCGTATTACGATTTGGCTGGGCATTCCTCATATCCCTCACTGAAATGGGGTTTGCGTTAGAGAACAACATGATCACTATCTTAGCTCCCCTGGAAGTGTTCAGGTATTTAAGTACCATCATATCACATAAGATTATATATACATGAAACCGCATTTTGATAACAACACTAATTTATTACAACACGTGCAACTAATCTATGACAAATTTAAAGCTATGTAGACTGGGCTATGTTGACGCTCGCTGCCAGCTGACTCGCTGTTTGGGTATACAGAGTGTCCTAAAAGTTGGGACTTTGTTGTTGAAGACACAAAACAAATGGCACTCTCATACATTGATATCAGAGTTGTCCATACTATCTTAATTTACGGTATCTTCGAAATGCTACCGAGGCTTCGGGAGTGCATACAGATCGGTTTTCAAAAACCTTCGTGATTTCTTTTTTTGTTTGGGGCGAAATGAAGTGTATGACGGTTGCCGAACTATGTGTGTGAATGTAGCAATTTCCTTCATTCATTTAGCAAAGGGAGTCCATTCTAGCCTACACTGATGATCGAGCACATAAATGTGTATTTGAATCTATCGCAAACAACTTTAAACAATACTTACAAGCGGCAGAACTGTATTCAAAATATCTTTTCCATACCTTTTATACCTTTCCGCTGCTGTTTCAACACACATGCAATTACAAACGTAGTTGTTTATGAAGAGAAAAGCACAACTTTCAGGACATCCTGTATATGTACAAATCGCCGATTCAAAGAGCGTTCCTCGCCTTCCAGATAGAACTTCTAGTTGCCTGGTAGATAGCTCTGCTGTTTTTACGAGGTTACCTCACTGG